TTTCTCCTATCAAATAGTACAGGAATTTTTGTCGCAGTAGCCTTTGCCCGCCTTACAAGTAGGTGACTAGATTACTCTGAAAGAAAAAAGCAGTGCCACCTGTTTATTTTGTTCTCAGCCCGCAGGAGTCCCCTTTGTGTCTGCACAGCTAGCAGGACATCTTTATAAAAGCTGAAGAGTTGCTTTTACAATGATGAAATGTGAGAGTGCTTTGGTCCAGTAAACTGCTACTCCTGCCCTCCTGGACTCCCAGCACTGCAATGCTAGGAAGAGTACCGCTTTCAGACAAAAACCTCTGCCCTTACCAACTACGCCACAAGCTAGATGTTCTTTAATCCAGTTTTTTTGGGATGAATACGACAGTAAAGATACTACTGCCGTGCACATTATACGTTCAAACATACTGTGCTAAACTGTCAACAGTGAAGATAAGAATGCTGCAATTGCGTGTATGTTTTCGTTTAACGATGGCTCTTGTGAGGTGCGGCCGCCAATTACGACCGGGGTCACTGATTACACAAACACCCTCACTGAACACTAAAAAGTTGTGCAGTGTTTACCGACGACAACCTACGGAGCAATCATTTTTGAGTATGCATGCATTGTTGTAGATCAACTGTAGTTGAACTAATGGAGCGGATAGTATTGGTGCTAGTCCAATTCAGCAAAGATTATTGGTGAAATATGCGTTACCATTTGGCAGTGGCGTCTTATGAGATGTCTAATCCCAAAGTCGCATGCTTAGAGACCAATGATCAGGGAGTACACATAAACCCTCTTTAACCAATAACTGCTGTAGTTACAAGGAAAGGCGTCCTTTGGGAAAATCAATAAATTTATTCAATAAATTTTCGACACGGGATCCCCAGGACGCCTTTCTTTAAAATTACATTTCTTGGGATGCCTGCCTTTCAGTTTATACGAAACTGCTGTAGTTGGGATTTGTAATCAAGACAGTTGTATGGACTATAGAAGAAATGGCCTTCACCTGCATTTTCCACTAGATGTGTAAAGGAACAACCAGATCGATTGTGGATGAGAAACAGGGGATCATTTTGGTCCTGATTTGCGAGATCCGTGCTGCAGGCTTAGGTTTCACTGTGGCTGAAGGCGAGAAATAAGCTCTCAACCGTCTAACCGTTAGCTCGTTTATATACGGAGAAAATTATATTCGCATTAAAAACAGGCAAATAAAATTATATCACCGGGACCTCATACAAGATCGAAAGAAAACACACTACTTACCTCATCGGGTGTGAGACCGCTGCGAGACCCCAGTGCCATCAGCTGCTTGGCAGGTACTCCGGCATTGGTACGTCTCAGCAGCAGGGCATTAAAGATGGGAATATCCAGGGCGACTTTTCGACACCTCAGGGCCTTTAATATGGCCTCCTCCCAGCGGTCAAGTCCCTCCGTGTTACCAGTGCTGCCATCGGAAGATGGTGCTGGTGGCGGCAGGAGGGCGACTAATTTGGTGAAGAGTGGCGGCGCTGTAACGGGCACCTTAAAGTGTGTTTCCATGCACTCAAGAAGACCCTCGAGACCACCAACGAGAATCAGCTTTTGCCAAACTGTAAGGGAGCGCGACCGAGGTTTCGAAGACAAAAGCGCTTGTGGGAGTGGGACCTGCAAGAATGGTGGCTTTGAGAGACTACTATCCCTCAGGGTACAAGATTCGGCAAAAAACTGGTGGGCTGATCAATGCGAATAAAGAGGGCGGGATTGCTACTCAATGACAACTATGTCTCAAGATTAGGAAAACTCAGAGGACAGACTGTGTAGGTGACAACAGGCATATGTGTAAAATACCCGCATTATGAGCGTGCTAGTCGTTACCTAGGCAATTTTCCGTCAGTTGACTCCGCTGCACAGGTACGGCCAAACTTCGCCCCTTGACTAATGCAGTGGGATCGACGGAATCCAAGAGAAGTAAACTCTCTATCTCGTTTATTAATACTCCACTCTATACAGTGTAATAGTTAATGAGGTTTTCTAGGTTGCCTGTTTGCTTCTGAAGTTAAGTTCGTGTCTCGAGAAGATAGATATTTTAAAGGACCCCTTAACCACTTCTCAAAGGTGCTTACTTGGTAAAAGTGTCAAATGAAGATACCTCAGCGCGGGGCTTCTGTTAGGGCACATCAGCAGTTAGGCTGTTACTAGAGAGGTGGTCCTTTGTGTTGAGACAGATAACAAAACTGACGAAAAATCGGCATATGAGATCCTGATATTCTATTCGTGCCTCTGACACTGAATCAGAAAAGAACACACATCATTATTGACCGCACTGTAAGAGTACGCTTAGTTACAGTAGGCGTAGTTGAAATCACAAGTATATCGACTTCTGCCATTCAGCAGGAGTGCGAAGAACATCGACTTGGCACTCTATACGTAAAAACAGCATTAAATCGGGGATTGAATTAAATTTTACGATGTGCTTTGGCGACTAAGTTTTGGAATGCGACAGACAAGGATCCGCAAGTGTATGCACACATTCTAAATGCTGAACAGAAACGGAGGCCGCAATTACGTATGAACTGTCGATATCGCTTTACCAAATTCGAATACGAAGGCACAAAGTACGAACAGTTCCGATAGAAAGTAAGTAAATAGGACCCCAAAGCTGTTTACTAATTCAAAAATTGAACAGAATAGATCATGGGAGTACTAACAAGACATCCAAAACGGGTGGATAAGAAATCAAAGGCTAGAACACTAG